TATCGAAATGCATGGATATGAGAAAAAAATAATTTTTAGTTTTAGAAAAAATGTATCTTGCAGTACATTATCTAGACTATTAATTTTCAAGGTTTTCATACTTTATAGATTTACTTGATTTTAATTATTTTTGGAGTTTAAAATTTTATAATTAGATATCAAAGTAGATTTTGAGATAATCTTAAGAATTTTGTACACCAAAATTACATGTTATGATAAATTTTGGAGTTGTACCTTAATTGGATTGTTTAAGGTTGCAACTTTATATAAACCACAAAGTAAAACGCACCTCTAAATATTATTAAAATATATAGATGAGGTACCCAAACTACTTATAATAGCCTAAAATATTTATTTTCACACCTATTTATAAAATTGAAAGCTACAAAAGTGGTGTACATCAAGCACATATATAGACACTTAGAAATATTGAAAACAGACAATTTAGATAATGTTAAAAAATACGTTACTTTTAATACTTTAAATAGTACATTCTATTTAAAGTCTTCAAAATAACGTATTTTGTAACATTATCTACTATTTAAAGTCTTAAAAGTAGCGTATTTTGTAACATTATCTAAATTGTTTGTTTTCAATATTTCTAAGTGTCTATATATATCTTGAAGTCCGAATATCAATTATAGGGCTTTTCAACATCCGACCAATAATTTGTGGTGGATTTTTTAGACACTTTATTTCTACAATATAAGGTTCACACCTTATATAAACATTTTTATGTAAATTTTACTCACATTGACAATTTGGACAACCAACAGATTCACCTTCAAAATTAATGTATGATTGCTTTTGTTTGGTTGAACAAGTTGCTTTTAACCAGTTTAGCCATAAAAAAAAAAAGGCAAATTTTTTAATGCATTTATATTTTAAATCATAATATTTATTTTTTTATCTTTTTTATAAAATTCGGTCTAATCGGTTTAACCAGTAGTTGGACCAGTTTGACAATTCCAGATCTTTAACTAGATCGACTACCGATCCAATCCTAATAATATTGATTTTTTACTCTTATGCCATTGGCCGTGGGCATTCCTATAACACATTATATAACACTTTACATAAGTTATTTTAATATTAATTTTATGCTTAATGACATCAATCATAACTTTAGCGACAATCGACTATGGTAAATTATATTATCATTAATTTATTATGATAATATCATGATAACAGTAACTGTCACTAAGTCTTAACTATGACGATCCTTCTTAGTGGTTAAGGTAGATATCATTATTTTGGACCTTGAGAAGGTGCACATAAAAAATCCAATAGAAAAATAGTTCTAAAAAATTATAATTGATCATCCTGATCTAGAGATATATGGATTTAAGCAAAATAAAAAAATTTAAAGTCCTAAAAATAGTGCATCCTATAACAAGTTATTTAGATCGTCTATTTACAAGATTTTCAAGTGATTGTAGATCAATTCAATCTACAACATTTTTAGAAGTTTAAATTTCATACTTAAAGCTGAACGTTAATTTTCAAGCCATTGTAAAGACTGTATACTCCTGAAAAATCTAGAGGTGTGCTTTATTTATATAATATAAGGTGGGCATCTTGAACCTCACCCCTCCAGCAAAGGCCACATATTGTATATGGTTGTCGAGGCTTTTACGGATTGGATTAAGCAATAAAAACATATATTTATGGAAATGTATACAATGATACTATTTACTTTTGATATAATGAAGTCACAATCATTATCAATCGTTAGATTTTAAATCGGGCGGTTGAGGGATATGTCATTGCTTGGAAACAAAGTCTAAAATAAAAAATTTCGAATCTTGTGACACACGTTCGGTTATTAGATTTCACATTCAATGGTCAGTGATGATTATGACCTCTTTATACTGAAAATAAATGATATCATAATATAAATTCCCATTATATACAATGCACAATAGATTTTTATGTCATGTTCCATTTCCCAAAGAAATAAAGATTAATATCATAGACACACAATATGTGTATAGAAATCTGATCTCCTTGAAAATCGAGGCTCCTCTTATTCACATTTTATATGATAGAGCTTATGACACACTAGTGCATAACGGAGGGTTCGTGGGCCGGTCATCCACCGTACGTTCTCATCAATGGAGGGCAAAGATGAACAACTGTTCATACTCACAAACTTGCATAAAACAAACCATCTCCACAATGTAAATGTTCCCCATATTTAATAAAGACCTTGTTTTTTAGTTCAAAGAGCACACAACCACCCTTAGTCATCACATAGAAACTCTATCGATTTGAGGTGTATTATAAAGTTTGAAAAATTTTATTCCATAATCTTAACGAGTGACACACCCAAGCCATCTAATTTATTTTTTAATTTTAACTTCCGTATACACCAAATTAAATGGTCTATAGTGATTACATTTGATACGACTATCAGTATGTTGTTCGGTGTCTAAGCCGGTTTGTTCTAAAGCAAAAACTGAGTTTAGTCGAAAAGAGGTCAAAACCAATGCTCAATTGACTTTGGCCCGTTAAACATATCTATTTGGTCGGTTAAACAAAGTTGTGCATTCTTTAAAAATATATTTTATATTTCTTAATAATTATTCTTATGTTTACTTTATTTTAAGGAAAATTGTCAAATTGCCAATGAGAGATGAACAATTTAACACCTTATCCAAATCATTTGTTTTACTTTCAAAATACCCATAAAAATCACAATATTGAGTTTAAATAGTTACAAATGGGTAGAATGGTAAATCATTAATCTAGAAAAAATATTTTGATATTTTTTTCTATAAAAATTGAGTCCAATCAATTGGTTCGACGGTAAAACCATTTTTGACTCGATCAGACCATTCATCATTTCATGAGGGTCTGATTCTTATAATAATGATTTTGGTTTTCGTTTGATCTGCAAAATTGGGGATATTATTGTTACAATTCACGAGGGTCAATTGGTCTAAGAATTGTTACAATTCACGAGGTCAATTAGTCTGAGAAGGGTAAGGACCTTAAACTTTTTATTACACAAGCCTGGATGAAAGAGGTGGGTTGTGTTAGGTAGGTAAATTTTTGTCAAATTTTTTCATGAATCCATAGCCGATCCCAAATAATTGGGAAAAAGCTTTGATGATGATTATGATGATAATGACAATGATTCACAATTCGCTAAAATAGTCTAAGCCTATGTTACATAAACATGGACTAGGTGTTTATTTATGACACAAATACGAGTATCAGAAATGTAAACCCCCAAAAAATGACACCTAGACACGATATACCCAAACAATATATAAATATCTACATAAATCCGTACGTCTATTCATATATATATTGAAATATTTATGTAGTTCACATACGCATTTACATATACAACAATTCATGTCATACAAAATTTGTGAAGCATTAAAAAATAAAAAATTAAATACTTTATGAATATGAATTTTATTTATCAAAATTTATCATAGACCAAACCAAAGTTGCATCGTAATAATATAGAAAAAATCTACATAGTACTAACTAATTATTAATTCAAAATGTAGCACTCTTATTATGTGACTATTGAAAAGAGTCCTAATGCATTAATCGAAAGTACAAGCTTTCAAAACTAGTAAGAGACAATTGTTACTACAAGACAATATACAATGCAATTCATGCTATTAATAACAAAAAAAGACAGAATAGTAAAGATTTTAGGCGGCAACCAGGCACAATGAAAATAGAAGAAGAAATATGAATATCTAGCAAGCACAGCCCAGAGAGAGAAGCCAATAGTCCCAAGCTTAGGGAAGGATAAATCAGTGGTCCATGGCTTGCAAAAATAAAAACTAGTTGGGAAGGGAGAAACTTTATCAAATTCATAGCAGTTAAAAAAAAAGGGTGCGATTTGTATATAGCATAGGCTCTAAACAATCAAATTAGAGCCTACCTCCAAATAGCGTCAAGAAATGTGGTTTTAATATTGGAAATCTTTGTGATAGCTTTAAAGTATATTTTCATATATATTTATTAAGTTCAAAGCTTCAAAAATAGTGTAGATCGACAGATATATGATATATTGAAAATATTGAAAATTGACAGTAAAAAAATGCGTTACAAAAGACACTATTTTCAAAACTTGCAATCCATTTTTTGCACATGTACATGCATCTTGATGATCAATTTGAAGATATTTGGGCATCAAAATAACATCTTCTAATGAAAAATTTGAGGTAGGCTAAAATTTGATTGTTTAGAGCCTGGCTCTAGTTAAACTTTTTCCTAAAATAAAAGGAAAAGTTTATATAGAACCGAGGCTCTAAACTATCAAATTTGAGCCTACCACAAAAATTCGACTAGAAGAGGTTGATTTGATGACCAAATATCTTTAAACTGATCATCTCCACATCAAGATGTATTGACATGAGAAAAAAATAGATTTCAAGTTTTAAAAATGGTGTATTTTATAACGTATTTTTGGACCATCAATTTTTAAGATTTTTAAGTTTTCATAGAGATGTCGATCTACACTATTATTGAAGTTTTAAAATCTATAAATAAATATAAAATATATATTTTAAGTATTTCACAAAGATTTCCAATATTAAAACCACATTTTTCAACACTATTTGAAGGTAGGCTCTAATTTGATTGTTTAGAGCCTAGGCTCTAACAAACCTCACTCGAAATAAAATGCTCAAAGAGTGTCTACACCTAGTCAAGTGTCCACTAAATATCGACACAGTCAAATCCTAAGACAAAATCGTAAGACACGCGTGTCCATATTTCATAACTATAGGCGGGTTGCTAAAGATCGCGCTAATGGCTTCAATTTAGCGGGCCCGCTAAATTGGCGGGTCCTCCAATTATAAATATTCGTGCCTGCTCTATCTATTGTCACACTGAAAGCGAGTTGCAGAGAGAGAGGAAGAAGAATTTTAGAGAGATGAAAATGGAAGGGAGAGATAAGATTTTTAGAGAGAGAAGAAAGTGACGAAATTCGAAGAGTTAGAGAGAGATGGGAATTGCAGAGGGAGTTAGAGAGAGAAAGCGATGGAAATTGCAGAGAGAGATAGAGAGATGAAAATGGCGAGCCACGGTTTTAACTTTCGCATCTCCCAAATAACTCGTTTCCAAATAATTTCTAGGGTAAAGTTAAAAAGCTCTCTCTGTCAAACCTCTGCAGCATCAGAGCTCTGCTCCTCTCTGGACACAGAGACGTACTCTCCTGTATTTAAACGGCTGATGGATGTGATGGAACGACCAGAGGCAAGCCCTGATATGTGTGAAACCGCTAGAGCCCTCGCCAGAAGTGCCTTAGCTATCTTAGCCTCTGCTTTAATGGCGGGTTCAGTTTTGCAGGCAGTTTATTCCCCCTATTCCAGGTATCGTAGGGCGGTTTTTTGATGCAAGATGAGCTCTCAAGAAGCGGAAACCATGGCGTGGAGCTTGATAACTCAGAAATGGAGGAGTTGGGAGCGGTTTGTGGTTCTTCTCGTTTTCCTGAGCAGTTTGAGCTCGGTTTCCCCAGAAGAATCAGATGATGGTGAGCTCTCATGGCAGTTTCCTTTTGGCCAATGCTTTGCCCTCTTCAAACTTGGAGTTGAATTTCAGTTCATCTTATATTTACTGGAAACGTTCATCTCTATACGCTGATTTTCTCCTTTAGTGAAATGCTTGCAAAAATTTATGCAGCTTGAGGTTTTCTGGATACACTCGCTCCTCTTACTATACTTGTTCATGTCTCCTGGTTTTACCTGAAAATGTTAGTTTAGTTCAACGCGTTTCAATGGAGTGCTTCCTTATCTGTATAATGCTTGAAGAAGTTTGAGCATTTTGAGCTCCTAAGCGAGCTTCTCTAGTCTTTAACTTCCTCTGCTTGTAAAATTTGTTCCTGTTCTGGGATAGTTTTCTGGAAAATTGCATAGATCACTTAGTTTATTTTGTTCACACTGTTCACAACTTTTATGTCAGCATTTCTGTGCTGTGCTTCTTCTATACTGTTGTGTTCTTACTTCTAGCCTAGCACAAGGAAGTTCTTATGAAAGTTTTCAGAAAAATGGAAGGACTCTCTCATGGACGTGGTTGCGAAGGATCCTTCACTGAAAGCTAGGATTCAGTGACTTTGAGAGAGAGAGAGAGAGAGAGAGAGAGAGAGAGAGAGAGAGAGAGAGAGAGAGTAGTAGTAGTA